AAGTTCTCGGTCTCTTTCTGGGTGCCGGCTCCTCTCCTCGTCCTCTCCATCGGGAGACTCATGAAGAAGTAATCGGGTTCTTAAAGTGCAGATACTTCCAGTCCGGATAAAAGCTTCCAGGCACAAGGGGTCACACGTCAGGCGCTGCAGGAGACGAGCCGCTCGATTGGAGGGATTGGGGTGGAAGGTCACATAGGTCAGAAGACCCTTTAATACAGGATGAGAGACCAAAGAAGAGGCGGGATCAGACAAGTGAGAGAAGCGGGAGAGTAGAAGCAAGACGGGAAACTCGGGCCCATAGACCTCAGGAGGTGCCGGGACCCGGGGCCCCACCAGGGACGGGAAGATTCCTTGTATGGGGGACTGGCAGGACATTGGGGGGATGGGCGTCCTCTTCATTGTCTTGGTGGATTCCTCTCTGTTCTCCATCGCCCAATCAGGAGGAAGATCCTCCAAACTATTGATGTAACCCTCAGATAAGAGCCAAGACCTGGAAGAGAGAGACCGGCAGATGATAAGCTGCAAACCCCGCCCCCATCTGATGATTGGTTAGTGTAAGCTGCAAACCCCGCCCCCATCTGATGATTGGTTAGTGTAAGCTGCAAACCCCGCCCCCATCTGATGATTGGTTAGTGTAAGCTGCAAACCCCGCCCCCATCTGATGATTGGTTAGTGTAAGCTGCAAACCCCGCCCCCATCTGATGATTGGTTAGTGTAAGCTGCAAACCCCGCCCCCATCTGATGATTGGTTAGTGTAAGCTGCAAACCCCGCCCCCATCTGATGATTGGTTAGTGTAAGCTGCAAACCCCGCCCCCATCTGATGATTGGTTAGTGTAAGCTGCAAACCCCGCCCCCATCTGATGATTGGTTAGTGTAAGCTGCAAACCCCGCCCCCATCTGATGATTGGTTAGTGTAAGCTGCAAACCCCGCCCCCATCTGATGATTGGTTAGTGTAAGCTGCAAACCCCGCCCCCATCTGATGATTGGTTAGTGTAAGCTGCAAACCCCGCCCCCATCTGATGATTGGTTAGTGTAAGCTGCAAACCCCGCCCCCATCTGATGATTGGTTAGTGTAAGCTGCAAACCCCGCCCCCATCTGATGATTGGTTAGTGTAAGCTGCAAACCCCGCCCCCATCTGATGATTGGTTAGTGTAAGCTGCAAACCCCGCCCCCATCTGATGATTGGTTAGTGTAAGCTGCAAACCCCGCCCCCATCTGATGATTGGTTAGTGTAAGCTGCAAACCCCGCCCCCATCTGATGATTGGTTAGTGTAAGCTGCAAACCCCGCCCCCATCTGATGATTGGTTAGTGTAAGCTGCAAACCCCGCCCCCATCTGATGATTGGTTAGTGTAAGCTGCAAACCCCGCCCCCATCTGATGATTGGTTAGTGTAAGCTGCAAACCCCGCCCCCATCTGATGATTGGTTAGTGTAAGCTGCAAACCCCGCCCCCATCTGATGATTGGTTAGTGTAAGCTGCAAACCCCGCCCCCATCTGATGATTGGTTAGTGTAAGCTGCAAACCCCGCCCCCATCTGATGATTGGTTAGTGTAAGCTGCAAACCCCGCCCCCATCTGATGATTGGTTAGTGTAAGCTGCAAACCCCGCCCCCATCTGATGATTGGTTAGTGTAAGCTGCAAACCCCGCCCCCATCTGATGATTGGTTAGTGTAAGCTGCAAACCCCGCCCCCATCTGATGATTGGTTAGTGTAAGCTGCAAACCCCGCCCCCATCTGATGATTGGTTAGTGTAAGCTGCAAACCCCGCCCCCATCTGATGATTGGTTAGTGTAAGCTGCAAACCCCGCCCCCATCTGATGATTGGTTAGTGTAAGCTGCAAACCCCGCCCCCATCTGATGATTGGTTAGTGTAAGCTGCAAACCCCGCCCCCATCTGATGATTGGTTAGTGTAAGCTGCAAACCCCGCCCCCATCTGATGATTGGTTAGTGTAAGCTGCAAACCCCGCCCCCATCTGATGATTGGTTAGTGTAAGCTGCAAACCCCGCCCCCATCTGATGATTGGTTAGTGTAAGCTGCAAACCCCGCCCCCATCTGATGATTGGTTAGTGTAAGCTGCAAACCCCGCCCCCATCTGATGATTGGTTAGTGTAAGCTGCAAACCCCGCCCCCATCTGATGATTGGTTAGTGTAAGCTGCAAACCCCGCCCCCATCTGATGATTGGTTAGTGTAAGCTGCAAACCCCGCCCCCATCTGATGATTGGTTAGTGTAAGCTGCAAACCCCGCCCCCATCTGATGATTGGTTAGTGTAAGCTGCAAACCCCGCCCCCATCTGATGATTGGTTAGTGTAAGCTGCAAACCCCGCCCCCATCTGATGATTGGTTAGTGTAAGCTGCAAACCCCGCCCCCATCTGATGATTGGTTAGTGTAAGCTGCAAACCCCGCCCCCATCTGATGATTGGTTAGTGTAAGCTGCAAACCCCGCCCCCATCTGATGATTGGTTAGTGTAAGCTGCAAACCCCGCCCCCATCTGATGATTGGTTAGTGTAAGCTGCAAACCCCGCCCCCATCTGATGATTGGTTAGTGTAAGCTGCAAACCCCGCCCCCATCTGATGATTGGTTAGTGTAAGCTGCAAACCCCGCCCCCATCTGATGATTGGTTAGTGTAAGCTGCAAACCCCGCCCCCATCTGATGATTGGTTAGTGTAAGCTGCAAACCCCGCCCCCATCTGATGATTGGTTAGTGTAAGCTGCAAACCCCGCCCCCATCTGATGATTGGTTAGTGTAAGCTGCAAACCCCGCCCCCATCTGATGATTGGTTAGTGTAAGCTGCAAACCCCGCCCCCATCTGATGATTGGTTAGTGTAAGCTGCAAACCCCGCCCCCATCTGATGATTGGTTAGTGTAAGCTGCAAACCCCGCCCCCATCTGATGATTGGTTAGTGTAAGCTGCAAACCCCGCCCCCATCTGATGATTGGTTAGTGTAAGCTGCAAACCCCGCCCCCATCTGATGATTGGTTAGTGTAAGCTGCAAACCCCGCCCCCATCTGATGATTGGTTAGTGTAAGCTGCAAACCCCGCCCCCATCTGATGATTGGTTAGTGTAAGCTGCAAACCCCGCCCCCATCTGATGATTGGTTAGTGTAAGCTGCAAACCCCGCCCCCATCTGATGATTGGTTAGTGTAAGCTGCAAACCCCGCCCCCATCTGATGATTGGTTAGTGTAAGCTGCAAACCCCGCCCCCATCTGATGATTGGTTAGTGTAAGCTGCAAACCCCGCCCCCATCTGATGATTGGTTAGTGTAAGCTGCAAACCCCGCCCCCATCTGATGATTGGTTAGTGTAAGCTGCAAACCCCGCCCCCATCTGATGATTGGTTAGTGTAAGCTGCAAACCCCGCCCCCATCTGATGATTGGTTAGTGTAAGCTGCAAACCCCGCCCCCATCTGATGATTGGTTAGTGTAAGCTGCAAACCCCGCCCCCATCTGATGATTGGTTAGTGTAAGCTGCAAACCCCGCCCCCATCTGATGATTGGTTAGTGTAAGCTGCAAACCCCGCCCCCATCTGATGATTGGTTAGTGTAAGCTGCAAACCCCGCCCCCATCTGATGATTGGTTAGTGTAAGCTGCAAACCCCGCCCCCATCTGATGATTGGTTAGTGTAAGCTGCAAACCCCGCCCCCATCTGATGATTGGTTAGTGTAAGCTGCAAACCCCGCCCCCATCTGATGATTGGTTAGTGTAAGCTGCAAACCCCGCCCCCATCTGATGATTGGTTAGTGTAAGCTGCAAACCCCGCCCCCATCTGATGATTGGTTAGTGTAAGCTGCAAACCCCGCCCCCATCTGATGATTGGTTAGTGTAAGCTGCAAACCCCGCCCCCATCTGATGATTGGTTAGTGTAAGCTGCAAACCCCGCCCCCATCTGATGATTGGTTAGTGTAAGCTGCAAACCCCGCCCCCATCTGATGATTGGTTAGTGTAAGCTGCAAACCCCGCCCCCATCTGATGATTGGTTAGTGTAAGCTGCAAACCCCGCCCCCATCTGATGATTGGTTAGTGTAAGCTGCAAACCCCGCCCCCATCTGATGATTGGTTAGTGTAAGCTGCAAACCCCGCCCCCATCTGATGATTGGTTAGTGTAAGCTGCAAACCCCGCCCCCATCTGATGATTGGTTAGTGTAAGCTGCAAACCCCGCCCCCATCTGATGATTGGTTAGTGTAAGCTGCAAACCCCGCCCCCATCTGATGATTGGTTAGTGTAAGCTGCAAACCCCGCCCCCATCTGATGATTGGTTAGTGTAAGCTGCAAACCCCGCCCCCATCTGATGATTGGTTAGTGTAAGCTGCAAACCCCGCCCCCATCTGATGATTGGTTAGTGTAAGCTGCAAACCCCGCCCCCATCTGATGATTGGTTAGTGTAAGCTGCAAACCCCGCCCCCATCTGATGATTGGTTAGTGTAAGCTGCAAACCCCGCCCCCATCTGATGATTGGTTAGTGTAAGCTGCAAACCCCGCCCCCATCTGATGATTGGTTAGTGTAAGCTGCAAACCCCGCCCCCATCTGATGATTGGTTAGTGTAAGCTGCAAACCCCGCCCCCATCTGATGATTGGTTAGTGTAAGCTGCAAACCCCGCCCCCATCTGATGATTGGTTAGTGTAAGCTGCAAACCCCGCCCCCATCTGATGATTGGTTAGTGTAAGCTGCAAACCCCGCCCCCATCTGATGATTGGTTAGTGTAAGCTGCAAACCCCGCCCCCATCTGATGATTGGTTAGTGTAAGCTGCAAACCCCGCCCCCATCTGATGATTGGTTAGTGTAAGCTGCAAACCCCGCCCCCATCTGATGATTGGTTAGTGTAAGCTGCAAACCCCGCCCCCATCTGATGATTGGTTAGTGTAAGCTGCAAACCCCGCCCCCATCTGATGATTGGTTAGTGTAAGCTGCAAACCCCGCCCCCATCTGATGATTGGTTAGTGTAAGCTGCAAACCCCGCCCCCATCTGATGATTGGTTAGTGTAAGCTGCAAACCCCGCCCCCATCTGATGATTGGTTAGTGTAAGCTGCAAACCCCGCCCCCATCTGATGATTGGTTAGTGTAAGCTGCAAACCCCGCCCCCATCTGATGATTGGTTAGTGTAAGCTGCAAACCCCGCCCCCATCTGATGATTGGTTAGTGTAAGCTGCAAACCCCGCCCCCATCTGATGATTGGTTAGTGTAAGCTGCAAACCCCGCCCCCATCTGATGATTGGTTAGTGTAAGCTGCAAACCCCGCCCCCATCTGATGATTGGTTAGTGTAAGCTGCAAACCCCGCCCCCATCTGATGATTGGTTAGTGTAAGCTGCAAACCCCGCCCCCATCTGATGATTGGTTAGTGTAAGCTGCAAACCCCGCCCCCATCTGATGATTGGTTAGTGTAAGCTGCAAACCCCGCCCCCATCTGATGATTGGTTAGTGTAAGCTGCAAACCCCGCCCCCATCTGATGATTGGTTAGTGTAAGCTGCAAACCCCGCCCCCATCTGATGATTGGTTAGTGTAAGCTGCAAACCCCGCCCCCATCTGACTGGGTACGGACCCCTCGGGAACTCCCCCACAGACCCCTCGGGAACTCCCCCGCAGACCCCTCGGGAACTCCCCCGCAGACCCCTCGGGAACTGGGACTGCAGACACTGGAAGATTTAGTGTCTATGGTGACCGGATCCCTTCTAAAGGCCAAATCCCTCCTCCGTATCAGGTACCAGACGCTTGGGAGGGACAAACAGCTTGTAAAGAGAAGAAGAACAATGGGCTCCCCGGGAAGGTCCTAATGGTCTGGTAGAAGCGGCGGGCTGTTCCTCACGTTGGAAGGTGGCGCATTGCACCAACAATGGCGGAGGGACGGTAGAAGACGGATTTCTCTGGCGAGTCCCTAAAGGACTGGAGAGACTCAGCAACAGAGTCTTGGTGGCCGAGGCTTCTAAGGCAATGGGTGGCAATGGCGCCCAATGGTCCCAGTAGCGAGGTAGCCCCAAGTTCCCGGCCTCCATGGCTTACTCACTAAGGCTTTGCCGTGCCATGGCTCTGGACCTGTAAAGCAATGCCCGGCTAACTTAACCCTTACACGACAATAAGGCCGAGCCCATGGCAGGCTAGCTCATTGGGGTGCCGGTACCACCTATGACCCCCAACCCTAGGCTAGGGGTCCGTCATACCGGCACCAAGCCCAACCTTCCGGATCTTAATAAGAACCCCTAAGAATACCGATCCCTGGAATCTATGACACAGATGATGTGTGACTCGTACCTCAGGCTCTCCTCAGAGGACCCTCCTGGTTCCTTCTTGGTTGTTGGCTCTGGTGGGAAGTCATAAGAAGCAGAACCTCGTTCCTCGGCTTCATGGGGGGCATCCCTCTGCGCACCTCCTCTTTCCTCAGCAGTCCGGGCCACTTCCTCTAATCGTCCGGCTAACAGAGGAGCCAGGCCGCCGAGACTGAGCAGAGACAGGGCCGCGTTGTCATGGCAATAGTGGAGCAATGCCACTATAATTCGATGGTGAACAGATCCGTACAATGGACTGCGCAGCAAAGCTACAAGCAGTTCTAAGCCGCCAAGTTCTCGCACCCTGACGCGATTCACCGCTTCCCGGCAACAGAAACACAAAGCTCTGACCAGAGGGAGGCAACGCGTCGGTGATTCTTGTACGGCCACGGCTTCCGTGATCAGCAGCTTAATGATCCCGGCATTGCCCAGCATCGGCCTCAACGCTCCCTGATTACAAAGATTACACAGAGTCCCAAAGACAGCCTGACGCACCGCGGACTTCTCCGGCTCTTCACCGGCCAAGGCCACCAAGGACGGCACAGCCGGACTCAGCTGCTCGGCACAGTCCAAGGAACAGCCGCGGCTCAGCTCACAGATGGCACGCACAGCCGCACAAAGCACATCCCGGTTAGGAGAGGAGAGCATCTGAACGCACGGAGCCAGGCCGCCATGATGGCAGATGGACAGTCTATGCGATAGAGAATCGCCCAAAATGCGTAAGGCCCGCAGACCGCTCTGCAAACACCCCGCGTCCTGAGAAGTCTGCAAGATGTGCACCAATGACGAGACGGCACCTGAGAGACCAGAGAGACAGCGTTAGATGTACAATGGCGGACCAAGCAGAACC